TTTTATTATAATAAAACTTAAAAATAATAAAATATTCACTCACATATATAAATTAATCACTAATATCTAAACAAAACAGTCTTTTATATTATGACAGTTACATCTATGTGAGTTTGTTTGTCTGACTGCATAAGATTTTTTGAAATAGATCAGGTTTTATCAATCTAACACATAATACTTGCAAGAAAGTGTGGCTTAAATGCAGTGCATGAAAATGATAGGAGAGGAAGATTCAAGGAAAGGGCATAAAAAGTACTACAAATGTTTTGTGGGTTGTGGTAGTCATATTAATACATTCAACCTAGAGCTACAAATTAAAAAACATCATAATTGTATTAAAATATTCATCGTGTCAAACTAGAAATTAAAAAACCATCACCATAGTATTAAAATGTCTTTCCCTTCAAACTAGAAGTCAAAAACCAGTGAGGTAGTATTAATTCATCCAACTTTGTGGGAGTATAGGGTTAAACCCAGTTTTTTTATACATCTTGTTAAAGTAAGAGACAGAATTATTTCATTGTTGTATGACTAGTTCATCCAAGTTGTTAAGAATTATTCCACTGTTGTATGACTAGTTCATCCAAGTTGTTAAGAATTATTCCATTGTTGTATGACTAGTTCATCCAAGTTGTTAACCTTAAGCCCTGTGACAAAGAACTATTGGGCACAGTGGGACCAATTGAAGCTTGAAGATCGTATTCTTGTCCAGAGATGGGAAAGTGACGACCCGGCAAATGGTTATACCGAGAAAATTACGGGACGAACAATATTAAGGAGGGGCAGTGTTGCGTCATCGAGATCACATGACTACAGTGACGCCACGTTTCTAGAACTATCCCGTATCTTGGCGAATGCTCTAGTATTTGCTAGATATAGGGTAGTTTGGTATATATAAGAGGGGACAACGTGACGCGGGATTAAGGTAATGTCTGTGTAGATAGTGAGTAATTGAACTGCAGTCAGAAGTATTATTGACGTTCGTTATTATAGCGTTTGTTTAGCGCGATTGTTGAGGTTGAGTGTATCGGTAAGGTTATATTCGGAAAGAATAAACCAGTTTTATTAAGTAAAGATTTGTGTCGTTAAAGTTTCGTCGGAGCGAAGTTACGGAAAGTTAATTAACAAACGGAGACGTAACAATATATATCTGTGTGTGTGTGCATGTGTTTATATATAAAATGTTTAGGAATTCTTTTTATATATTGAATTACACAGAATTATCATTATGTTCATAGTTAAGACAAATATTAAGACCATATGATATAGGAAAACCTAAATCACAGAATTTCATATTCATCGTATATACACATTAAAAGTAACAAAGGTTTGATATTTATTTGCAATTCATTGTGAATCACTACTGCATTTCTGTAAGAATTTATTAAATAGATTAATAAGTAAATAATAGTTATATTTTTACTTTCACTTGGACAAATTATGTCTTACTTTGTCAACTGGGATGAACTATTTATACTGCAATAGATCGAATCTCAACAACTTGGATGAACTATTCGTACAACAATGTAATAATTCTCAACAACTTGGATGAACTAGTCATACAACAATGGAATAACTGTTAACAACTTGGATGAACTAGTCATACAACAATGAAATAATTCTTAACAACTTGGATGAACTAGTCATACAACAATGGAACAATTCTTAACAACTTGGATGAACTAGTCATACAACAATGGAATAACTCTTAACAACTTGGATGAAATAGTCGTACAACAATGTAATAATTCTCAACAACTTGGATGAACTAGTCATACAACAATGGAATAACTCCTAGACACCTTCTCCCAAGCAGGGTGCAAAACACTTGCTTTTAGAAAATCAATTATTGGCTTCAAATCTTGGTCTTTCTCCTGCTCTGATTTAATATCTATACTTAGTTCCATTTCACCATCATCAACTTCTTCAGTCACTTTGGCTTCAGCTTGATGACACCTGATTAGTTCAACCTCTCTTTTAACATTTACCGGAATTTGGCCTTTGTTGTTCCGAAACGTCATTTTATCAAAATTAATTAC